ATTTCACTATCAAACACTAAGTTTGTCCTTGGTACCAAACATATCCATTATTCTCATATAAATGATATAAATGAGAATGAGCAACCTCACTATCAAACACCAAGTTTGTCCTTGGTACCAAGCATAACACCAATTTGGTGCTTGATAGTGAGGTTGTTCATTCTCATCCACTTATTTAAAGAAGGGGACTACTTTCACATGGGTGCACATGTGTTGGATAATTGAATGAGTGAATGAGAAGTGAACACCTCATTACCAAACACCAAATTTGGTGCTTGGTACCAAGCATACCCATTCTTATATATACATGTGTTTATAATATGTATATATAATTTTTTTTAGTAACCGGGCAAGACTCGCAGAAGACTTATTAAGAAAATGAAATATTATAAGATATACATGAAGAGGGAGAGGGAGAGGAAGGAGATGAAGAAGAAGAGGGAGAAAAAGGAGAAGAACAAAAGGATGTTATGAGATGAAATATTATGAGGAAAGAGACTAATGTAGCTTATTAGATCAAGGTGTTATGTTGCTCACTGAATCGAACGTCTATTCAGTTGTAAGGTGGTGTTGTCATACCAAACACAAACATGATAAGAGTTTTAAAGGCGACACACCTTAGTGCCTTAGGCAAAGTGGTCTTGTAGCTTAGGGCCTTGTGTATTGCCATGTGATGAAGGTTGATCAGGCAAGCCCTTTTTGGGCCTCAAGAGTACACTTTGGCACCTCAAGCGCTCGCCTAAGGCATGAGATGCTAAGCGCGAAGTGTTTTTTTATGTTTTAAATTTTTGGGAGCGCGAAATGTTTGTCTTTGTTCCCAATAAAGTAAAAAAATTTGTTATTGAATTTTTGTTTCTTTTTTTTGTTGGTTTCTAGCTATTTTTCATTGTAATATTGTCTATGTCATTATGAGGACATGCCACAATTTGAACATTAAAAGTTTAAAGTTTGTTGCTTAACTGTCTGTGCTAGCAATTACAAGTTAAAATTACTATTCAGTATTTATTATTACTTCATTTAGATTTAGATAATTTATGACTTGTTAAATTTGAGACTTTGAAAATATAGTTGTGATTATTTTGTCTTGTTGCTATTCATTGAAATTTGTTAATATTATTACTCAATATTTGTTATTACTTCATTTAGATTTAGATAATTTATGACTTATTGAATTTGAGACTTCGAAAATATAGTTGTGATTAATTTATCATGTTGCTATTCATTGATATTTGCATATTATTCATAATATTTATGACCTTGGTTTGCACGATGCCTTTTTTGGTGCCCGGCCTCAGGCAACATAGGATCTCATCGCCTTAACTCGCCTTTTACTTTTAAAACACAACGTAGAATCAATAGACAAAGATCATTTGCGTTATCTAAGTTTATTTAGAAACACGATCTCATTTCACTCAATCCAAATGTATGAGTAGCAAGCAAGAACAACACAATCCCAATAATTAGGCGGCAACAATTGGTTTTATTACGGGACAGCTCATGATGTTCACATCGATCTATTATGCGCCTCTGCATCTAGCATTGGGTAGACCTCATACAATAATTGTCCAGGACGTAAGGTGATGTTTTGGCACCAAAATTCCAGAGAGCTAAAGTAGATGACGAAAGTGGATTGGAGCTTTATCCATGAGAATAGGACCCTAAATATTAATATTAAAAGTGTAAATGCGTGGAGAAGAATTGGTAATTAGACCTCAAACTATTATTACAGGACATATGTAGGATTATGTGGCCAACTCTTCTCGAAAAGATTATTGTCAATGAGCAATCTACCATATAATTCTAACCACATGAGAATTTTCACATTAAACGAAGAAACAAGGGACCATAGATGACAAAGAGAAGGTATGATCTAAACATTGTTGTTGATATAGTAAATTAGTAATAAAGGGATTTAACCGTGAATACACATATTGTATTACGTTTCCAATTCCTAGCATTCAATCCTTTGGTCCAATTATGTGAATTTACTGGCAACTATTGCTATATGCAAGACCATACCCATGGAGATGAATGAAATGAAAATGACTCTCTGATTTTCTCACTTCTAACATGGTATCAGAGAAGTTTTCCAAAACCCTAACCCTACCGCCTCCAAAACCCTAGCCGCCAAACACCTTAAAAAAAAAATTGCTACTGTTCTACGGAACCCTAATCCTCACCTTCCTCCTTTCAGATCCCGATCCTGGTCCTCCACCTTCGTCCTCGTCTTCTTCGCGGGCCGCTGCTGCCAGATATCTTTCGAACCTCGTCCTCGTCTTCAAAGCTCGCCGCTACTTTGCTCGTGATTGCCTTCGAAGCTCGCCGACCCCCGATCTCCTTCGCGCTCGTCATCGCGCTCGTCATCGCCGCCCTTGGATCCCTCTCCGAAGCTCGTCGACGCCTTGATGCCTTTCTTTACTTTCCCTTTTTTTTGTGTTGAATGTCGCTGTTAGTCTGAGATCTTTTTTGTTTTGTTGAGTGTGGGCCTCTGTTTTATTTGTTGGGCCTTTTTTTGTTTGACTTGTTGGGCCGTTGTTGAGTAGAATTTGTAGTAGTTGAGTCTGAGTTTGTAGAGTCTAAAAAAAAAAAAACAGAAACAAAAAAAAACAGAAGCAAAAAAAAAAAATTTGTTACATGATTAACCTTCGGGTTTTCTATTCTAACCCTTCGGGTTCCTACACACTAACCTTCGGGTTTTCTATTCTAACCTTCGGGTTCCATTCTAACCTTCGGGTTCCATTCTAACCTTCGGGTTTCTGTTTTAAACCTTCGGGTTTTCTATTCTAACCTACGGGTTCTAACCTTCGGGTTCCATTCTAACCTTCGGGTTTCTGTTTTTAAACCTTCGGGTTTTATACACGGAGATTGTGATCCTCTTGTTTTCGTACTATCCTATTCTGTAATAATGACAGGATCTGACAGTTCTTCTGTTGCTATAACTACTACCCCTACCACAGCTGAGGTATCTGCTCCCAAACTTGTATTGGGAACCACTGTGAAGTTAAATGGCACAAACTATCTTCTTTGGGCTCAGGCCTTTCGCATTTTCATTGGAGCTCAGAACAAATTAGCTCATCTTATGGCCCCTCCTCCTGC